AGGGTAGCTTTAAGGTTAGAGAAGGTTATAGTTTATACTAAAATTTTGCAAGGAATCTTTTTTGTTAGAACACCAACCATGAAAAAAGAACCATAAAAAGGGTTAAAAAAATTTTATAATTCCATAGATCAAAATTTCTGCATAAGTCAATTTCAGTATAATCTATCACACTAATTAATTTAACATTAAATACTTGATTAATTCTGAAACAACATTAACATTTATACTATTTCCTAAAACTCTATATCTTTGTTTTAACGTGATTTCATTTGGAAATAAGAATTCTTTGGGAAATCCCATGATTTGAGAAATTTCATATTCAGTAAAATATCTAAGTCTTAATAGAGGCAGTGATGCCAACATTTCATGATCTGGTAATTGTTGTTTGAATAATTGAGGTGCCTTTCATTTTAATAGTTTAACATTAGCAAATTATTCCAAAAAAAAACAAACAAAAATCTAAATACAAAATAAAATAAATTTACATCTAATTCTTCATTCAACTGCAAAATAGAGCCTGTGCCTTCCACGTAATGATAATATCCTTTTGTGAAGCAACAACTTCTTGTTGACGATGGCTTTACTATGTCTAGAATTATATTCTATCTTTAGATTAAACATGACATAAAAATTGAACAATGAAATAAAGTATAAAAATTACCAAATAATTTTCCATACTTGAGTAAAGTCTGATAAATTAAATCACAATAAAATTAAAAATTTATGGTAAAATCTAAAGTTTTCATAAATCATAAAACTAATAAATTTAATGTACGTAATTACCTTGTTAGGAATAGAATATCGATCACCATCAGCATTTGTCAAATATTTTTCTATTGGTGCAATGTTTAATTTAAAGTCAGTTATTTTTTCTTCAATTAAGTTTGAATTGTTTGCGTTTCGAATGTCAACAAAATCTTGATCATACAATGAACAAGGAATATGATTCAATATTTTAGAATTGTCTGAATTTTTAAATTTTAGTGGTCGTTTTTTTGCCTATTAAAATAATTAATTTTCAAGGTTCAATCAGTAGAATTTGACAAATATATATAAGTTATGTATTTCCAATAAAACTAGAAATTTAACATACCAGCATATAATATCTTAGCCTTGAGTTAGGAATTCCCAGTTGCAATGGTGTAATAAAAAATTCTTGATAATTGTAATGACAATTATTTAATTGCTTTATTAAAATATCTCGAGTCTCTGATTCCTATTTAATAATTCAATATCAATGAAGCATTATAAATGATTCAAAATAGCATTTTTTACTAACCTCAAAACCTTTAACATTTTCAATTAATATATAAGTCGGAGGACTATTCATTTTATCTAATAGATCAATTAAGTAAATAAATGATTTAGAACGAATATCTTCTGATCCTCGATGCAGTCCTGTTCGTGTATATGGTTGACATGGTGGTGACATTAACCATATATTTGCTTTATAAGAATCATAGTAATCTAAGGGTAATGATTCTATGTTTCGCTTTGATTCGGAATGAAAAAAAGGAATGATTTTAATTATAATTTAAGAAAAGAGAGATGAAATAAAAAAAATACCTGGTGAATAATCGAAGATGAATGATTTTTTTCAAAATTATACCTATATATTATATTTGCTGTTGTATTAATATCAAATGCACCAACAACTTCACCTATACTACCCGATGCCTTAAATGCATAGTGCTAAAAAATTTATTTAATCACGAAATTAATTTCTTATCTCTAGAAAATGTAAGCATTTATTTGGCTAATACATATTTAGAAATTAAATTAATCAATAATAACCATGCCGCCAATACCGGAATAAAACTCTAGGATTCGATGCATCGCTTTAAATATTTTAGAATCTTGGAATACAGTAAGCGATTTTTCCTCGGTGATAGGCAAATCAGAAGATTATCTAAAACCGGATTCTATCACATGATGTGTGACCTATTTGAGATTCCAACTCATTAACACAGGTAGGTGCACGTATAACTGATAAATCGCAAAATCACAAAATTTAGAAACGATATATTTACTATGATGTGATGTTTGATCGTGATTATGAAGTTGTACGGTGTAAAAGTGTAAAATGCCCTGTACTACAAAAATACACTACAACACTATACTAATAACAACTAAAACTACTCAAACTACTCTAATTCAAACTTAATAATGGTAAGGCTTCGATCGAGGCGTGGAAAGACTTGGTCCGAGTAACTGGGGTCAATTAGAGCTCTAGACTTCCTCACGAACATCTTAATACGACGTCACAGGATTTTGTCACTAAGTCCTACCGTTAGTACAGATTTTACTTATCGGGGGGATTTCTAGTGACAAGCACCTAATAGATGCTGAGCTCTAACCATGAATTGAGAGCAGAATCTCTTAACGCCGACCAAGTCTTTCCACGCCTCGATCGAAGCCTTACCCTTATTAAGGTTAAGGTTGAATTAGAGTAGTTTGAGTAGTTTGAGTAGTTTTAATTAGTTTTTATTTATTTATTTATTTATTTATTTATTTAATTTTTTTATTTTATTTTATTTTATTTTATTTTATTTTATTTTATTTTATTTTATTTTATTTTATTTTATTTTATTTTAT